TGAGGGTCCACATCAGGCTGAGGGTCCACATCAGGCTGAGGGTCCACATTTGCACAAACAGTTTAATGCTCTGGTGAACATCTTCAGTCCTCCTGGGTCCGGTGTCTCTGCTCAGACTCGCTAAGCTTCTTCAAAAACACCACAAGGAGGCCTCAGATCCACTTGTCCATCACAGATTTGGTGAACTTTGAAGAAGACCATCTTCAGAGATGTTTCCTGTCTTTGTTGAGGGTTCTAGTCGTGAGATCTTCCAGCAGGAAGGACATGTTACATTTAGACCGAATACAGCAGATTTTCCTTAACATGAACAAAACATGACTTTGTTTTAGATTGCACTCAGAACAAGATTTGTTTTTACAAAGCTTTTGACCAAACACTGTTCAGAAGATGCTCCGTGTCCTGGACAAGAGGTCACATGCTTCCTGTGACCCCGCCTGCCGACCAGATGACATCATCACACGATGAGCGGTGCAGAGCGATCGTTGGTGAGGGTTCTCTTGAGTTTGACCCCCTTGCGGATGGCCACCAGCATGTTTGCTTCCTCTCCTGCTCCCTCTTGGTGCTGCTGGGTCAGCTGGTGGGGCGGGGGTGCAGTGGGCAGGTTGCTGGAGGCCTGACTGCTCCAGGATGCCACAGGAAGCAAACCAACCTCCTTGTGTCCTGAAAGTGTTGGAGAATCTGAGCTGGACTCTCCGCCCTCCACCTCCTCTGCACTCCTGACCCCATTCACAGCTCCAGGCACTGTGGGGGGTTTCACAGGCACCACGGGGGTCCGGATGGGAATGGGACCTGCACCCAAGGAGCCTGAGCGGCGGGCTGAGGGTTTGGAAGGTGTGCGGCGAATTGTAGCCACGCCTGGGGTGACAATGACTGGACCATGGCCTGTAGGGAGGGAAGAAAGGCATTATGGGAGCTGGATCAAAGACACAACCTCTGACTGAAACTAAAGTTTAGATTATGACAGAACCCAACTGTCTGCACATCTGGATTTCATAACGTTTGAAAATGTTTAATTACATTAATATTAAAGTATATAATATTTAATAACAGGTGGCACGGTGGCTCAGTTGGTAGAGCTGCTGCCTCTCTATGAGGAGGTCGCCAGATCAAATCTGGGCCAGGGGGTTCTTTCTGGGTGGAGTTGGCATGTTCTCTCTGTGCATGCGTGGGTTTTCTCCAGGTACTCTGGTTTATTGAGCATGCATCAGGATACTCTGGTTTCCTCCCACAGACCAAAAACATGCACGTTAGACTGATTGGTGGCTCTAAATGGTCCCTAGGTGTGAGTGAGAGAGAGAATGGTTGTTTGTCTCTGTGATGGGTTCGTAAATGGGCTGGCGATTTACAGAAGAAATGGGATCAGGCTACATCGTGAAGCCAAGTAGGATACCAAAAACAGGAACATGTCAGCGTTGAACTTAATTTATCATGAATCATCTGCATAAAGCAGTGGAAAGACACCGGGGAGGAACTATAACATGTTTTGTGTAACCAAAAAGTGAAAAATGAGGAACGCTTCACGAGTTTGCGTGTCAGGGGACCATGCTAATCTTCTCTGTATCATTCCAATTTTAGTGTATGTGCTACCGAAGTAACACATCTCATGTTAGGCCACGAGCAAAATTTATAGAGCTTTGACCTGAGTCTCTCTCACTGATGATTCCAATGAGGAACATTCGTGGTCAAAGTAGGTAGAGGCAGGAGAAATGCAGCAAAAACAAGTTTTAAAGCTGCTCAGAAACAATAATGACCAATAATTAGTGAGTCTGAATCAGTTTGACTTGGTTCTTATTTTTAATTATTTTGTATTCAGTTCTAGCTGTTGAAGAACAGATGCATGATGGGAAATCATGGCTGGCTGCTTGATGTACGAGACTGGATCGGCTGATAAGCTAGGCAGCATCTAAACCTTAATTCAAATATGTTCTTGTTTCTAGTATTTGACCTTTGACATCTTGTATGACCGTTATAACTTCTTTTATTTGAAACAAAGAAACTGTCCAGATGACCTGACTGAAAAATGTTGGATTATATACCTGGATTATTGACTTTGTTCTTTTATTTGATTTTTATTTAATTTTGTTGAATTGTTGTTGTTTGTACCTCAGCTGTGTTCTTTGTTTAAAACAGGCCCCTCCTGTAAATGAGTCCTCACGACTCAGTGAGAACAACCTTTATAAATAACGGTTGAATGAATGAAAGAATGAATGAATGATGGACTGGAAACATGTCCAGGTGTCCCCACCTCTCATACAGTGACTGTTGGACATGGACACCAGTGACCCGAAGCAGGTAAAGATGATAGATGGATGTAATAATATATAATAAAATATTTTCCACAAAACCTTTAATTGCTGACACAAATGAAATAAAAACGGGAAATTGAATGTTTTCAGAAACAGCAGTGCGAACGCTGAGTGTGAATGACGGCTGAAGTTTGATGAAGAAGCTGAAACTGAGTCGCTAAATCTGAAAGAAGCAAAAACTGACGCTCCAAGCTACAAGGAGCAAAAGGCTGGCTAAAAAGCTAAAAGTAGCCGAAGGGTAGCCTAAAGCTAAACGCAGCATAAGACAAAAACAGAGCTGAAGCAGATTTCAAAGAGAACAATGATTTAATCTTTGTCTTTGCTTTGGGAAAATATTTGTAAAATGTTAAATATTCTGATATTGTATTAAATTTACACATAAAAAAGTCATAACGGCTATCTCCTGACTGCACTGAGCATTTTTTAATGACTAAAATATTACAGAGTTCAGGACAAAAATATGAAGAACAAGAAAACAATGAATCAGTATTAACAACTTTAAAAAATAAACTAACAATCCAATTAAATCTTACTCAAATAAAAACAATCAACTCTTATTTTTAATAAACAACTTGATTCGAGTTGTGCTTTTATTTTGCTGAGAGTATGTTCGGCGTACCTGAAGGAGGAGGATGGTACAGCCCAGCAGCAGTGTAGGGATATGCTGCGGTGTGGTTGGGTGTGGCGGGGTACGGCCCCCCAGGTCCAGAAGCAGGAGGCTGAGAGCTGGGCAGCCCGGCTGTGGAGGCCGGTCGTTTGGTCTGGAACATGCGTCTGTAGGACTGACTGATGTCGCTGTTCCTGGGGATGGTGGAGGACTTGTCAAAGTCTGACTGCTGCTGCTGCTGCTGCTCAGGATCCTGGTCTCCAGCCATGGAGAAGTAGTCATAATCTGAGACTAAACAAAGACTAGATTAACAATCTGCTGACACATCCTCAGTTTATATAATCACAGTCATAATCTGACAATGGAAGAAACAAAGCAGATTAACAATCTGAGAGCGGATGTCAGCAGTGATCTTGTGCTACCTTGTGAGGGTATGGTGTCTTCAGAGCAGCACGGTGTGTTGGTCTGAGTGCTGTAGCCACTGGAGCACTGGATGGAGTCTCTACTGGAGCGCTGGGTGTCCAGCTCCAGACTCCCTGATAAGACCAGGGTCAGTTCATCAGGGGCCTCCATAGGATCCACCTGGACGAAACCAGATGAGGAGTCAACACATGGAAAACTAAAGACTGAGCTCTAAATCGCTGGCTGGATAAAGTTAAGTGCAGTTCATTAAAGTCTTTAACTCATTACAGCCAATTAATGTGAACTTTACTGGTGGGAGACTTTTCACAACGTCTGCAGGATTAACTGGAAACCCATCAACCTGGAGGCTGAGCTCAGAGATGCCACACAGCTTCATGTTTACATCAAAAAGCTTCATCATTTACTGGTGATAATAGATATTCACTAAATATCTTTGTAAAGAATGTGGCCATAATTACTGAAAATTACTCAAGTTTGCAAATATGAGGTTCCCAGATTTGAGGCATTTAAGACAAAGAAATGTTTGGTATCCGATGAAAAAAAAAAAAAAATCAAAATATAGAAACCATTTAATCAGAAATCCATCAAATGATTCTGAAAACCACTGCAGAGTCCTGAAGAACTGACATAAAACTGGTCACATTCATTTGTACATTTAAATACATAAATATGAGTTTATAAATGTTGGTAATTACAGATGAGCAATACTAAATATGTGAAAAGCTGACTGACTAAAGGCACCACTGATGAAATAATGGTCAACAACAATATTGCACTCATTACCATAATTGCCAGTGTACAAGCCACTATATTTTTTCTCACACTTTGTACCCATGTTTGGTTTATTTGTCATATCAACACAAGGTCAACAATACAAAGTACAATGAAATGCTCAGGACGAGAAGAACCGCCTGGACTCGCCAAAAAAAACAACAGCAAACATCAACGCATGCAACAAAAATACAAAAACAGGGCGCCACAAGTGAAAAGGAAATAAATCCATGAATAAATTAAATAAATAAACTCCATGGTTTATGTGCAGGAGCGGCCAATTTATGTATTTTTTTATTGTAATAATTACTATTTTATATTTTATTTTGACAGGCTTCCTGCCATTTTTCGGCAGCTTCCTGCCGCCGAATAACACTTTCCTTAGACAGAGCAGGGTGCTCATACAGCTGCACACTGCCCACCCCTCTCGGGGACGAGCTTTTGTGACACAGAATGAATGCCTCAGGTAATCACATGTACCAAACCGCTTGTTCAAAGTTTCAAATTCCATAACTCCACCCACTGTGTCATCATGTGACCAGAAGTCTAATCTGAATGACCAAAGAGGCAGTCTCCAGGGCCCATCCCCCAAGACAGACGTGCATTAATTTATTCAGATCAGTTACTGTATTTTGCCCGTCATGCACAGACCTGTTCATCTGCACTGATAATGGAAGATGCACGGAGAATTTCTTACGACGCAGCTCTCAAGTTAAAAGCAATCGATCTGGCTGTCGAAGGAGGAAACACCGAGGTGGTGTGTGATTATGTTTTTCTAAGACTTGAAGAGGACTTTAGTTCACAGGAGGACAAAGAACATAGCGATGAGTGACTTTTGGTCAACTACCGTACTTTTTTTTTTTTTCTGTGTTAAAGGCATTAAAAAACAACAACAACAACATTTACCAGCTGTTTCCCTCCGGGTCATGTGGGCTCCGTTGAGCAGAAGTCGTCAAAATTAATTTTTAAAGCAGTCAAGTCTGGTACATATTTTAATAAAAGCTTTAAAATTCTTTCAGTGTGACATCTTTCTGTGTACGGTAAATATGTTTAAATACCAGTACAGTATCTCATGTAAGCTCATATCCGAATGCATGAAACGAAGTGGAGGAGACAACGAACAGGAGGGGCTCTTCCCCCTTCCTCCGCCTCATGTGGGCTCTGCTCAGCAGAAATCACATCAAATTTATTTAGAAAGTACATTTAAAAACTGCCGCTGTTACCAAAAGTGTTCTTATGTTCATTTTGTAGGTTCAATGGTTTTAACCATGTGTCAGACAGTGAAGCATCATGAACACTTATGATGATCACCAAGCCATAGTCAATGAAACGCCATCTGGTGGCTGATTCTTGTACTGCAACAACAGCTGAACATGATGCATAGAGCTGGGCACAGACTCTGATAATGAACGGTGGATGCACGCGGCTTAAAACAGGTAAGTGTTATTTATGTACAAAATTATGATTTATCTTAAATTTAGTATGTGCAGCTTACAGTCAGGTGTGTGAAAACAAGGACCAACCTTCTGAGGTGCAGCCATGGTCCTGTCCCTGTCTTCCAACAGGCTTGGTGTTTGTAGCCCAGCAGAAGGAGCTGAGACTGAAGCATGGCCTGAAGGGGGGGTGATCTCACTGGTTACGCTCCCATTAATGTCCACCACAGCTGGAGTCTCCTTGTTTTTCTTCCTCCTCAGTGTGTTAACCATAGGCTGATCGTAGGGTCCAGGTTTTGCCCAGTCCTGTAAACAAAGCTGTTTGTTGTTGATTCTCCGCATTTTTCTGATATGCTTCTAAAAACAAACAAAAAAAATCTAAAAGTCTTTATTTTACAGAGGTTAAAAAACAAACCACTGAGCAAAAACATCTGATGTGACCAACATGTGAATGAACATGAAGTCTGAGGAGGTGAACAGACCTTCCAGCTGGGGACTCGTGATGAAGGCACCATGGGGGAACCCAACATGCAGTAGCTGGGGAAGTCTGGCAGCAAAGCTGAGGCTGGACGTGACCATGAGCGGGAAGGACCGTAGGTGGAGGATGAGGGGGAGGATGGAGGGAAGAAGGGGAAGGCTGAGCCCCCATTGCTCTGCAGGTAGGGGGGACTGGCTGGACTGTAGTGGTCGAAACCATTGGACAACTGATGGAGAGGGTACCAATGGGAGGAGGGGTGAGAACAGAACCAAGATGGAGAAACAAACAACAAAGGGATAAATGACTGAACTTATGAACACTGAAAAAACTCAATCGAAACATCACAACAAAAATGAGGCTGAATTATTCAAACTAAGAGGACTTATTTTGAGAAACAAGACAAAGGACAGGAGTTGGTCACAAACACCGAACTAAAAGAACCAAACTGGAAAAAATGATGCGGAGCAGATGGGGTTATACTTCTGTGATTAAAAACAAGCTGACAGCTTCCACTGCCAAGTTTGTGGTTAGGTGTGTTTAAACAAATGACATGCACGGTGGAAGAGTTTTCACCTCTTCAGGAGTGGACTGAAGCGCAGCAGCAGCCAAAGAGGAGGGGGAGTTGCATTCAACGTGAAGCTGCCCAGTTTCTGCATTCTCAGGGGAGCTGGAAGTGGGACAAGGCTAGGACAGAGAGGACAGAGAGCGGCAGGCAGGAAGTGGAATGGCACCAGGGAAAAGAAGAAGAGGAGAGGAGTTGAAAGAAAGATGGCAGGTAGACAGAGAGAGGCTGTTTTAAAACAGAGAAGCCTTTTTCTCCACAGTTATCACAGTTAGTGAGAACAATCAGGTGAGGACGTCAACATTCAAAGAGGAGCAGTAAACGGCCATCCTTCAGCAGCAGCATGTTAGGATTGGTTAAAGAGGCTCAGGGACAGTTATTAAACAGTTCTGGAAGTCAGCAACATGTAGAAGCTGCTCCACATCAAACACCAGGAAATACACCCAGAGAGACTCTGCAGGAGAGCTGACTGCAGACCTACACTGACAGTGGATCAGGTCTACACTGGAAGTGGATCAGGTCTACAATGGAAGTGGATCAGGTCTACAATGGAAGTGGATCAGGTCTACAATGGAAGTGGATTAGGTCTACAATGGCAGTGGATCAGGTCTACAATGGAAGTGGATCAGGTCTACAATGGAAGTGGATCAGGCAAACACTTGAAGTGGAGCAGGTCTGCACTGGCAGTGGATCAGGTCTATGCTGGAAGTGGATCAGGTCTACAATGGAAGTGGATCAGGTCTATGCTGGAAGTGGATCAGGTCTACTATGGAAGTGGATCAGTCCTACGCTGGAAGTGGAGCAGGTCTACACTTGAAGTGGATCAGGCCTACGCTGGAAGTGGATCAGGCCAACACTTGAAGTGGATCAGGTATATACTGGCAGTGGATCAGGTCTACACTGGAAGTGGAGCAGGTATATACTGGCAGTGGATCAGGTCTACACTGGAAGTGGAGCAGGTATACACTGGCAGTGGATCAGGTCTACACTGGAAGTGGATCAGAATGCAATGCAGCTTTTCTTACCTTTGTCTCAGCAGCCAGTGGGGAGGAGGAGATGAACAATGCGTTTTGGTCCTGCGATGACGAAATGAAGCCCGAATCGTGGGAAGAGATGCTAGAGAGCCGAGCTGGGGCCTGCTGGGGTGCTGTGGAGCTGCGGTGTCGATGGCGGGGGTGACAATGATGAAAGACGTGGTGTGAAGAAGAGGAGGAAGAAGAGGAGGAAGGAGAATGAGAGTGAGAGCCACTGGATCCTCTGGAGTCACTACTGTTAACGCTGTTCAGACTACTGTGAAAGGGCAAGGAGCGAGAGATGAAGGATCACACAAAGACGTTTGTCCATGAGAGGGCGGGTAAAGAGATTCAACTCCACCAGACGTTAAAGATAAAAGAGACAAGGAGGAGATGAAAGCAGAAGATGGGGGAAGGGGGGGACATGGAGGAGACAAGGTGGGAATAATTAACACAGCACACCAAGATGGAATGAGCAGTGAGTGGATCTAATCGGCATATATATTCAGGATCTAATCCGAATATAATATGGATCAAATCAGGATCTAATCCCATATAATCAAAATAACAATAAATAAAAATGAGTGAAACTAAAACACTCATGAAACTAAAAAACAACAATGAAAACAAGAAACAACAAAAACACAGGGTCCGATTAATCATAAAATACATACAATGTGCATGGAAGTTACACATAAGCTGTACAAAGAAATGCACAACAGGACTGAAATGATCAGTTATTAATCACACAAACCAAAATAATTTAGACAAGATATATTTTACACTTTTTGTCTTGTAAATGTAGGTCTATATTTATACTGATATATGTTTCAATTTTGGTTTAATGCCACAAATATGTTCCATTTAATCTTAGACATGGACGTTAAAAGACCGGGAATGAATCTTTCAGTGATTCATAAATTGCACAAGTCACCCCCCCCCAGACAAACATGACAGCATTTGTAGATTTAAGGTTCAGATTTAACCATCAACCAGAACTCAAGGACAGATTTGACAAGATCTGAACAGGATAGCTGCAAAGCAACACCAAAACTAGACGTTACATTTCTTCAGAAATCAGAAAGGCATAAAGCAGAGATGAAAGTGAAGACATAGTCTGAACAGCAGAAAATCGCAGCTTTCTAACGTTTAGGAACCGTTCTTTTAGATCAACCCAGAGAAAACGCTTGGTTCTAAATATGATGTGAGCAAAAATCAGATAGGAGCATCATTCAGGCTCGTTCTGACCACTACACTGGCAGACAAAAAGATTTTTACACCACAGTAAAGATTTTAGATTTGTTAACATGACAACTTTGATCCCACATGTATACATTACGGTAATTTTGATTTTGCAAATCATTATATACAGTAATAATGAATGCATATAAACATGCTCTTTGCCTTTGAAGAGTGGTGAATAATTTTAGGTATTTATATTCCAAATATAATGAGTTTAGAACTGGGTTGCATTGATTGGGGTCAGGAAGTACAAACGGTAAAGGTTTTCCTTGACTTGTTTTGAACTCGGAGGTCTGACTGGAGGACCTCACCTGCACATGCTGGACTTCCTGGACATGGTGGTGCTCGGGGATGAGGGTGGTGTTTGATATGACCAATAATAATCTGAGCCCTTTAGGTCCAATATCACCTAAAAAGAAGAAAATCAAAATTGTGTTTATTACTAAGAGGAAAAAAAAATGTAAACACACTTTAGAGGAAATTATTTTTCAATTGAGCCCCAAAATAAAATGTTAAAGGATTATTATCTGAGTGTCTTTTGTGTGATATTTATCCTCACTTGTTCACTGGCAGGAGGAAGCTTGTGGGGGTCCGAGGTCAGGGCCTTGAGGTCCTCAGAGATGGTCTGGAGATGGGAAACTTCTGCCAGCATAGAGATCTCCTCATCCTACAAACATGAAAGTCATTAGGAGCAAAGACACGTACACAATCAGTCAATTTTAAATGGTACGTTGTGTGAAAAAAGGCGATTTAAATAAAAAACAACAAACGAGCAGCGGAGCGTTGTTTCCTGCTGTACTCACCACTACAGGCTGCAGCATGGCTACAAAACAGCAGAACCTCTGTCTCTCCTCGATCAGAGCCTTCCTCAAAGCTTGTTTCTCCGTTTCCTCCAAGAGAATGAATTTATCACTGACGTCCTGCATCGCACTGTCCAGCTGAGGCTGAAAATCACCACGTCCTGTCAAACGAAATGGACACAAACACAAAAACTACTGTCAGTAGGGGGAAGAAAACCCATTAAAACTGGGCAATCTAAAAAAAACTGAAAATACAACTTTCTGACAATTTACAAGTACTAAACACAATCTAAAGATACAAAAACATGAATGAAGCCAGAAAATGTGAATATGTGGAATGAAGAATATTTGGTGCTGGTCACTTTTGCTCCGTCTGGTACCAGAGTGTGATCAGAACTGTTCCCATGTCTCAACATGAAGACACTGACACTGAAGGGTTTCTGGAGCTTGTTCAAGAGGAGCAAAAAGGTTATCGACTCCACGCTAATCTGTTGTTAACCCAACAGTTCTCTGTCAAAGACATCATATTCTGAGAGTTTCTACACAGAAGCCTGAACCACCGTGTCTCAGCTTTTATAAAGACAAGAAGCCCACCCAGATGTTTAGATGGTCTGAATGTACCTCCAGAGAAGGACATTTACAGTTTCAGGGTTATATTATATTCACCGCTGTGCGACTAAACAGAAACATGTGTGCATGCATCGTGTGTGTGATTTAAAGAGAGGATGCCCCGAAGACAAATCAAGACCTCTTGAGATTTGAAGGAGGCAGGAAGGCTGGCGACTGCCTCTGATAGAACGTGGGCCTCTGAGCTGTTATCTAACCATCGAAGCTACACAAACAGTTTTAACTTGGATGCATCGAGGTCGAGACAACACAAGTCTGCGGCCTCTGTCTGAACAAAGATAATAAACTGGTATCTGTGGTTGTTTGGAAAATAAGTAGTCAGTAAACTTTTCATAAACTAAACCAGCAGACCCTGCTATAGATTAGGAGGTCATCGTTGTAGTTTATTATTTTATTAATTTCACTAATACAACTAATATGACTAGCTGTGACAGCTAATATGTTTATTGCTGCTGCACTATGTGGCTGCATCATGTATGATACAGTATCTATGCATCTACCTTACCATCATAGTTCAATCTCAATCTACTTATTTCATTATTATTACTATTATGATTACTCACTACCTGTGCAATAAATAACCTGTCACACAGCCTGTGTAGTATAAGTTATGTGCAATATATATGTGCATTTTAGCTTATATTACTACCTTGAAATACTTATTCATACAAATTCATCCAGCTTGCACCGTTAAAATTCTACCATGTTGTTGTTTACTATCTCTCTTTAGGACCTTTTAAATATTATAATTGTTTTTTTCCCTTTTTGGTGCTTTAGTTTGTAACCTTATTGCATGCTTTAGTATTTCTTGTTTGTTTGTTCTTTGTTTTTAGTAAGTAAAAATCTGTTCTTCTCATCCAGAGCATTTCATTGTCCTGTTAATCTTGTGTTAACCTTGCATATGACTAATAAACACAACTTGACCACCAGTCAGCTAGACCAAAATTAAAACATTAACACATCATTTCCAGTGGCATGCAGTCCACATACCAACACTGTATTCTAAACATGAAATAAAAATATTAGGGGTAAGTTTAATTCTGAAGGCATTCCTAAACCAAATATATGTTGACTCAGTATAAACAGATTTGCCGTTTGTGTAGAAGTTGTTCAGCAGCGCTGTCAGAGAGAGCGATGCTGCACTCACATGGAGAAGCTGTTTGGCAGCTGGGACCCTGTAGAGTCAAAAATGAAGAAAACCCAAAAGTCCAAATGGCAACATATATTTTAGTCCCATATTGATCCAAACAGAACTTTTAGTGCAGATCAGTGCACAATCACATTGTCCAAAAGTTGTCTGACAGAACATGAACATATTTGCTGGTTTTCAGGACCAAACTAATTATCTCTGACCCTGCAGGCACAATCTGGTTTCCTGTACACGCTGCCTTGGATAAGATTTTTAAGTCAGGGTGACACTGAATAATGCTGTAATCACTCGTTATGAACTTTTCCATCATTACTGACATGTAACGCAGAAAAAAAAAACGTTATTAGAATTTTACGAAGTGAAATACTCAACAGCGGAAAGCACAGAAAGTTAATCAGTTAAAAACTTTATTACTGACAACACAAATTCTCTGAGTGTCCGCTGTAAAGTTCTGGCTGTATTAAAAATACAACAAGTAATAAGTTTTAAACTCCAGATCCGTTTGGCCTCGACACAGAAAACCAGCTTCTCTAGCCTCAAAACCAAGTTTGTGGTTCCGATCCGTTTTCTCAACAAAGCCAAAGTGGTTTTGGAAAGGCGCCACTGTAAGCCGCCGTGCTTCATCCGAGACAAACAGAAAGACAAACGGTTTCTTTATTACCAATTTAGTAGTCTGCGAGCAGTTTGAGAAATGTCTTAAACTGCATATATGAACCTTTAAAGGGGTCAAAAGTTTTAATCCGCTGTGCACCTACAAGTCCACAGATTCAGCAAATCCTAAACGAAGTGAATCGTAACTTTACCAGTTCCAAACATAACCACAGGAATGATGTAGTTCATCCTGGCATGAACATCCATTTGTGGACAGAAGTGTTGTCGGTGATGAGCTGAGCTGTTGTAATATTTCTCTGTCTGCCACCAACCGTTCTGTGGTTTCTGTGGAATGGACTTGTGCATCTGTGCAACAATACAAACAAACACGTTACTGCAGCTTTTTTATTTTGCTTTTAAGCATAATAAATGAGTATAATTTCCTGCAAAGGATCAATAAATCCATCCAAACACTAAGATTTATTGAAGATCTGCGTCGACACCTTTAACTTCGCTGATCTGCACAAAGTATGAATTAGAAAAAAGACAAGAACAAAACACTAAAGACTTAAGACTTTTGACTGTATTCTACACTAGCTCAAAGTGATTTTACAAAAAGAGGTTGAGACGGTACATTGTGCATATGAATGTACATGTGCACAGACAAATGGGATTAACTGCTGCCAGTGTTCTCATGGCCGAGAATTAAATTAGGTTGTAATTTCAGACTGCTGATGTTTCAGGTCAGGAAAACACCCTCGAGACAGAAAACAAACATCAGAGCTTGAAAAGCCACCAGGTGGTATGTTTTTGTTGTGTGTGAGAAAATAAGCCACTTCTCTTTCAGTTTACAGGGATTAATGCAGCAAAAAATCTTCTGACTGGAAATGTTTTCTATCCAAGCACCCCTCCCCGCAACACCATACATTCAAGAGCTTTTTCCAGCATGTAGGTCACTTCTCAAAGGTTTTCTTGTAAAGAGGAGTGTACTGTGTGCATGACCTTAGTAAAAGTACACAGTATAGTGTTCTCTAATGAAGTACCATCAGGACCAACATCATTTGGAAAGAAGAGATGGTTTGAACAACTTTTCTCTAGTTTACTTTTATGTCATTTCAGTGTTTTCAATTGAGGGTTGCCAGATATATATATTTTTACTTATAACACAGAAAGTCTTAGCAGAGTATAAATTAACTTAGAATGATTTTTTTTAATTTGCCACACTGACAGATTTCTCCATTTAAATTATTTTTTTCATTTAATAAGATTATATTTACAGGATTTCAGATCATGTAGTTATTTAATACCATTTGTTTTTCATATTTATTAAATTACATTTATCACAGTACAGTTACCTCTCAGTAAGTTTCTAAATATAATCAAGTTCAGGTCATCCTAACAGCTACAACAGCTTGTTGTTGTTAAAACACTGTGTAGAACTGAGTTTAGTAGATATTTATGAAAAACTACAAACAACCTGATTCTCAGCGAGAACTTTGTGAGTTTTGGGGAAAAATTTAAGTTAAACGGAGATACACATCTCTGCTATAATCTGGGGCATATATAGTCATCTTTTAGCACTAATATTTATTTAGAAAAACTAAAGCAGCTGAAATGACCTCTCTCATTGTGAGAAACTCAACAGACTGCGCACTCCCTCGGCGCTCTACGTCTCTCTACGTCTCTCTATGTGTCTCTATGTGTGTCTATGTGTGTCTATGTGTGTCTATGTGTGTCTATGT